GCCCAGCGCTCCCCCCCCCCACACACACACACAAGCCCTTAAGTAGATGCTCAGTGCCCAATCAGCTCATGCCATCTGGCAATCCCGGATACGCCACAGAAGGAGGAAGCACACCAGATGCCTCAAGCACTTCCAAATAAGGCTTGTTTACAGCTAAGCTTGGACTCCTGGTATCCAGCCAGGTGCCATCTTAGGGCTGTGGCTCTCCACAGGGGAGGGAGAGGGAACTGCTTGTTTCTAATTTAAATAAAAAAAGAATAAACAAAAAAGTGATTAACACAACAGGAACACAAATGACAACTGAATGATGATGCTATTTCACATGGACCGGAAGTCTAGACAAGGCAGCCATGTGCATGAGACTGAGTGACAGAAGTCTAGACAAGGCGGCCATGTGCATGAGATTGACTGACAGAAGTCTAGACAATGCAGCAATGTGCATGAGAGTGAGTGACAGAAGTCTAGACAAGGCAGCCATGTGCATGGGAGTGAGTGACAGCTCTCGTTTGCTCCCAGTGGGGGGACCACCACATTAGAGAATTATTTTGCATTTGCATGTTATCCCAAATACCTACTGAATCTGGGGCGTTGGTGGCACAGGCCTTTAATCCCAGCACTCAGGAGGTAGAGGCAGGCGAATCTCTGTGAGTTCGAGGCCAGCCTGGTCTCCAGAGTGAGTGCCAGGATAGGCTCCAAAGCTACAGAGAGAAACCCTGTCTGGAAAAACCAAAACAAAACAAAACAAACAAACAAAAAAAACAAATAGCTACTGAATAACCTGCAATTCCATTCCTAAATATTTACCCAATATTTTCCCAAGCTTCCTCACATTCAGCAATGCTAGGCCTGGACTACTGAGTCAGATGGCACTCCATATTGCAGAATAAACACTGAACTCCAAAAGGAAATCCTTCCAGGAGCAGCCACCACAATTCAGGACCTTTGGGGATTGGTGTAATAAAGACATTCAGGCCAGATTTTTGTCATCCTTATTTAACAGTAGAGTTTAAAAACTGGTGCAATGTTTGCAAAACTAACATTTTTATATAACCACCCACAGCACATAAAAGTTGAACTTTACATCCCTGTGTGTTTCAATTCTAAAGAAAAATGAGAATAATATCAAAATCTAAATTGTTCTATTCATTTTTTCAAATAAATTTCATTGAAAAACACCTTTGTTTAGAATATCATTGCCTTTATTTAGATTGTAACTTTCGAGGTGAATGGTGGATAATTACAGCAAATGTTTTATAAATTATGTTTAATTATATGTCTTTAAAATAATTCCCTGGGAGGCTGAGATGGTTCAACACACTGACTGCTCCTCCAGAGGACTGGGTTCAATTCCCAGCACCCACATGTCACTTGCAATTGTCTACAACTCCAGTTCCAGATGATTCAATGTCCTCTTCTGCCCTCCATGTACACAGATATGCATGCAGGCAAAACATGCATACACAAAATAAAAATAAAATATATCTTTAAAAAACCAATCCCCCACTCACTACTATTAACAGTATGGCAGGGTATCAACACAGATTCAAACACAGCTCTCTCTCATCACTTTCTTCCCTTTTTATTGAAGATAGATTTTTTTTCCCATAAAATATATTCTGATTACAGTTTCCCCTCCCTCAGCTCCCACAGATCCTCCCCTGACACCCAAATCCACACCCCTCTCTCATTTGAGGCATCTGAAAATAAATAAGATAAAAACAAATCAGAATAGGATAAAACAAACAAAAATTAATCAAAGCATAAGAAACACACACAGAGACACTGAGACATGCACATTTGCACACACAGAAAATCCATTAAAACGCAAAATCAGAAACCATACTATGTAAGCAGAAAACTTGTAATGTAAAAACATGTTCACACAAAGCATTATGAGACAAAAAAAAAAAACCCTCCAAAACTACTGAGTTCATTTTGTGTTGGCCATCTACTGTTGGGTATGGGGCCTGCCCTTATGTATGGTTTGTATACCCTGTGAGACTCCTTTGGAGAAAACTAGTTTTCCTTTGCCAGAGGTTATCAATTGGAGATAGCTTCTGAGTTAGGTTTGGGGCATGTGTCCACTTCCCTTCACAGCACTGGGACCCCATCTGGTGCAGACCTGTGCAGGTCCTGTGCACGCTGCCACAGTTTGTGAGTTCATGTGTGTCAGTCCTGCTGTGTTTAGAAGGCCTTGTTTTCTTGGTGTCCTCCATCACCTCTGGCTCTTTCACTCTTTCTGCCTCCTCTTCTACAGCTCTGAGCTCTGAGGGGAGGGATTTGATGGAGACATCTTATATGAGGTCAAGTGTTCCAAGGTCTCTCACTCTATGTACATTGCCTGGTTGTGGGTCACTGCATTTGTTCCCTTCCTACTTTCCTCATCTATAAAGTGAAGGTGATGATAATGTCTTAAAGAACTATTTTAGTCCTATGGGGTTAATCAATAGCACCTCAAGTGTAAGCATGCCTCAGAAGTCCCATGTCTAACACCTCATCAGATCTCTCTGTTCTGATTATGGTGGCACAGATGTTCTCCTGATCACGTTTTTGTTGTCACTATGGCTTTAGATCTTTACCCCGCCCCCATCAAAAGCCATTCAGGGCCTGAATAAATATTGGACTGATGGTTACCTTAGCATTTCCAATATGGCAACACTGGAATAATGCTTGATTTGTTTTGTTGCAATCTTGTATGTAAGATATACTGTACTCTCTTGAATGTTTTAGGTCACTTAATCCTCATCAAGAGGTATTGGTTGTGTTAGAATCCTCACTTTCTAGATGCAAAAACTTAGGGAATTTTTACAAACCCATCTATGAATAGGAAGCCAGACCATAACTAAAATCTAACCCAAGACAGTTTGGTCCAAGAAGCTAAAAACTACATGCAATAAGCCAACAGGCCTCCACAGTAAAGATAGTATTTTTACTTTTTCCAACAAGAGAGTAGGGGAGAGCAAAGTAAAAGAGCAACTTCTGAGAACTAGAAGTCATCCATATCAACCAAAGGACAGTCACAATCCTTACCTTGAGCCCATCTGATTGCAGCAGGGCTCCTGATCCCCAGTGTCTAAGAGACCTGGTATAAATGATGTGTTCACAGACTAGGGAATTAGCTTAGTGGGTAAAAGGCTTGCCATACAAGTATGGAGATCTGAGTTCACATCACCAGAACTCAGATTAAAGCCTGGCACCTAGAACAAACACATGTGATTCTAGCACCTTACAGAAATGTGGAAACTGAGAATGGAAAATCCCAGAAGCCCATAGGCCAGCTAGCTGGGGGAAAGCAACAGTGATCTTGTCTCAAACAAGATAGGAGGGAAAGACCAGCACTCAAGGTTATCCATGAATTCCACACATGCACACACATACACACATGAATGCAGTGTGTACACACATACATACACACACAATCAACTATGTGTTTATGTCACATATGATGAACTAACTTCCTGCTGAGAACAGAGGTCCTCTGAATTTCCCCATGAGTGCTAAACATGCCTAAACAGCAAGACAATTTAATGTCATTTCATGAGATTTTTACAGGTATTCTTATACCTTAACCAAACAAGTTCACTCTCATCATATTCCTTAAGGAGAAAATCAGTTGTGAAGGAAGCTTGCTTTAGAAGGAAGGATATTTAAAGCAGAATTACTCACTCACAATACACACATCTTCCCTTGCCCCCAGATTTTTTTCTGATACCTTTCATAAATGACTAGGCTTCCTACTGTAACTTAACAAGTTACAGTAAGACTAGGCACACACCCTCATATCAAGGCCAGATGAAACAACCCAATAGGAGGAAAAGGGTCACAAGAGCAGACAGAAGAGTCAGAGACAGCCTCACTCTCACTGTTAGGAGTCCAACAAAAACCCCAAGCTAAACAACCACAACATGTGTACAGAGGGCCTAGTACAGAATCATGCAAGTTCTGTGTGCCCCAATGAGCCCTGCTTAGTTGGTTGCATGGGCTGTGTTCTCATGGTGTCCTAGACCCCTCTGGCTCCTACAACCCTTTCTCACCATCTTCTGTGGGGTTCCCCAGTTCTGCCTAGCTTTTGGCTGTGAGTTTCTTCATCTGCTCCCATCACTAGCTGGATCAAACCCCTCTCATGACAACTGGGCTGTGTTGTGGTCTAGAAATAAGCATAGCAGAATGCTTTTTGATTTTTTATTTGTTTGTTTTCTTCCAGTCATGTTTGGTTTGAGTTTTTCAACTTGTTGAATCCTAAAAGCCTCAAACACTGCCTGGTACATGGTTGTTAGGCACACCTAAATACCTGTCCAATACCTAAGACAATTAGAGGTAAAACCAGGCTTGGGAACAGCCTGCTCCACAAACAGCCCCCTGCAGCCTCTTGGGGCTTTCTAACTCCATTATTTCAGCTTTGCTCTCTCTGTATTCTGGTTCCATACTTTCCTGTTGCAATTTCTTTTATTGCACGGAGGTGGGTGAAGCCACAAAGGTCCTCATATTTACACTTTGTCTCTTCCAACGGGAAGAGGGTGATGTTTTTCTTGAAGTGTTAATGAATCCACCTAGTGAGAGAGACAAAATAACTAGCCAAGTGTGGCCCACAAAGTCACTCTTTTCGGTGTGTCTAGCAACTTGAGAGTTGCAATCAGTAGAGACTAAGAGATAACTACTAAAGCACAGTTGAATATTCCAGACTCTTATGGTTGAGGAGAATGCAAAGCATGAATAATACATTCTAATTCCTTTGAGGTTTTCTTTTCTATTATCCATTCCCTGGTAGTTTCATCTCATTTTGTCGTCTGCATGGGCATATGTTGTTTGTTAAAACAATGTCTCTGATTAGAATATTAAAAATCAAGGAAATATCACCTTAAACTTTTAGATGTAGCAATCAAAAAAATATGAGTGTGAAACTGAAAACTAGAAAAGGAAGAACTACATACTCATAAATAGTACATATCACTGTTGCTGCCATTGATGCATAAAAAAAAAATAGATACAAAACTTTGGACTGACCAAGATAAGATAAATAATAGAGTATTTTCTTTAAATTTGCCAAATACAACTGGACTGGACATTGTGAATGTAATTCTTATCTGATAATTGTTCTTATTGTTTATAGGTTTAGTACATTGAAGTTAAAATCTTTCTTTTTTATTTAGACAAAAGGGGGGAAATGTCACAGAATATTTGTTGATACTGTGTAAAAATATGTCACTTTGACTGATTTAATAAAAAGCTAAACAGAAAAAAAAACAGTACATATCTAATGAGTCCTTCATGACAGTAATAACTATGCCTAAAGAACACAAAACATACAAATTACAAGACGTTCCTCTAAGGTAAGCAACTGCTAGCCAGTTTGTAGACAGCACAGGAAATGTCCCAACGTCAAATGGCAATGAAATGACAGGTCCCAGATTCAAGCTCTGTCCTTTGGAACCCAAATGCCACAAACTTCCTCCTCTGGAACACTGTGAAATTGCTGGTGCTGGTGAAATTGTTACTGGAGGTAAAGCATCTTCTCTGTCATTTTAAAGTTTTCTCAGTGACCACATTTTCACACAAAACCCAACTGTCACCACTGATTGGCAGCTGCAATATTATTCTGGTTCCAGACCAAATGCAGCTCTGTCCATGGTCAAATGCATGCTGTCATCGCTTCCTCTATGTCTGTATGGAAGCAGCTGCCATGTCGAAGCATATAGCCATCATACATATTTTTTTTATCCAATCCAGGATTTGTGTCCCTAGAAAATAGTTGTTATGGTTGAGTGAGTCCCAAATCATTAAGAGGTGGAAATTCTTTCAAAGGTGCAGAGCCAGGTTCAACCACACTGTCTAATTTTTGTCCTTTCAGTGATGGTGATTCTTAAGACTTTCAAGAAAGTGTTTCATGAAAGGCTTTTACAAACAGATGTATCCTGGCTTTGTGTATGAATGAACACCTCCCACAGATTCTGGGCAAGAAAACAAATTTTATACAAAATGATCTTCTAGTTTCTAGATATCACTTCTCTTTCCTACTCAACAGTGAAAACATGCTCACTAAGTTGCTGGAAGAACTATAGGGTAGTCCTTTAAAGCACCAACCCTAAAGCCAACATACTCCAGTGCACACTTCCATGACATGACCAGATGTCTGACTTCAGAGAAGTTACTGCTCTTGCTATGGCCTCCATTCCTCAAGTATTAAAATAATAGATCATTTAAAATAATAGAAAATATTTCATAGATCTTCTGTGAGTATTCAATGAGTTATATGGAAATGACGTACTACAGTGTCAAGAAACAAAGTGGCGTATAATGATTCATCATTATGATTTTATAGATGACACCTGAAAACAAAGAAGAATAAATATCTTGCCTAGAAATCATGAATCCAACAAGTGAACAACAGATATCACACGACTCTTTTGCTTTTTACATCATTTAGTGTTTTTATTCTTCTCATTTATATTTTATTCCATGTATATTATTGTCAATAAGTCTTTAGTCTTTTCATAGTCTTTCTTCAGGCCAGTCATTTTTTTCTTTTCTAATACTTATCCCTAAATATTCCACAGTCTTTATTTGGATAATGTTAGGAAATAAAGGACAATAGATGTGGTGGTTCATTGCATGGAGTGACTCTCAATTTTTTGCAGTTATGCTGAGGTGTAATGACTCTATGCAGCAATGGCTTTTGCTTGCATAAGGCAAAATTGATGAAGTTACTAACTCCACAAAAAAACATGCTTTTTCTCTTCTCTGCCTTTTTCAGGTTTTGTTGGAACAGCTCTGTTCTCCAGTGCAATGGATGGAAACAATCACTCTGTTGTATCTGAATTTGTGTTCCTGGTACTCTCCAATACATGGGGAATCCAGTTACTTCTCTTTCTGTTTTCTTCGGTGTTCTATACAACAAGTCTGATGGGGAACCTCCTCATTGTGTTCTCTGTGACTGCTGACTTCAACCTGCACTCCCCAATGTACTTCCTGCTGGCCAATCTCTCATTTCTTGACCTTCATCTAGTGTTTTATATCTTGTCTTTAACATATACAAAAAAAGCTAATTGAGAATAAATGTTTATGATCTTTCTGCTGTATCTTTGGCTGTGATCTGCTGATGAGAGGTGAGACTTATCTCCAGTTATAGGGACAAATGTTTAGAATGTAGTTAGAGATGATTGTGCTGGTTCAGGAACTTGATGGTTATAGGTTCTGCCCTAAGGTCTGTGAGTTCACTAATCCTGAGGAGTTGCCTAAGTTTCCAGTACCAGGCATTGTTTCCCTATTGCTGAGTGAGTCTTAAGTTCAATTAAAGATGTGTTGTTACCACCCTGGTACATGTACAACTACTGCACCCTTAGGGTTACCATGCCATGCTGGTCATTTTGTAGCGCATATGCTTCATAGCTAGGTAAGAGTATTGGTTGATTGACTCCTTTGGAAGCTTGCATGATGCTCTTCCACTCCCTTAAAGCTAGTCCTCGGGAAGAAGGCTTCAGATCAGTTCCATCTCACTGGCCTCAGGGCCCTGTGTCTAAAGTGCATGGTATCTTTAGCAATAGGAACTTAACTTAAACCACTCAGGAGCAACGAAGGGCAAAAGCAATAACCTGTAATATTTTAGAAGTCTCTTGGACAACCCTGACCAACAACTAAAAAGACAGTTTCTCATATTGCAGTTTTTGTTAGGTGGTCTTTGGCTCTCAACCCAGATAGGGAATTTTTCACTTAAACTATATATGTATATTTATGCACAGAATTATATATACTATAGGTTTTTTAATATTATAACTCCCTTATGACTTTTCAGATATCCTTACTGTTTTTTAATATGGAAGAAGAAGGGTGAAGGGTAAAAAATATTTTACAAAATAATAAATATTTAGGGGCTGGACAGATGGCTCAGTGGTTAAGAGTATGTGCTGTCTTTGAGAGAGACAGGATACAGTTCCCAGAATCCACATGGTGGCTCACAACCATATGTAGTTTTACAGCTCTGGGGGACCAGATGCCCTCTTCCAACCTTTGAGGGTACTGCTTCCATGTGGTACAGTTACATATATATAGGCAAACAGTTGTAAAATAAATATAAATAGAACTTTTCAAATATTTTAAAGAGCAAATGTTTTTAAATGTGCATTACATGAGGGGAAACTTCATCTGCCTTTAATAAATAACATAATTGAGGTCATAAGTATTTCCAGGTATGTAATTGGAGGACTCTGAGAACAGTGCATGAGCCACGTCATATTTCAGAGGCTGTTAGCCTCTTGATGAGAGCAATGTAGGACATGTGTCTTAGATTTCTGAGATTATGATTTCATTGCTTCACATGAGTGAAAATTGATTTCTTTCCTATTCAGCTAATTTCCTCTGTAAATGGGCATCAGCAGAGATCCTCTTAATGAAGTATGGAACATAAAAATGGAAGACTGACTATTTGTTTCAGCCAAATAAATGAAAAAGAGTGTAGTCACAAGCACTGGCCACGCATCTATCAAAGGGAAATGTCAAAGTCAATGTGTGTAGCCATGAAGGATGCTGCAGTCGAAGGCTGGCCTTGCTGCATAAAGCAGGACATATGAAAGCCCAGGACACCATCTGTGCTATGAATTACCTTTCCTTTTCCTATTCACTACCTCCTGCCTTTTTATTTTAATGATAATGAAACTTTGAATTAGGTATTACATGTCAACCTGAGGCATGTCTTGAGTGCCCTTGCATTTATCACCAAATGCAGGGCCCATTGCCTCCACACATTTACAGGCTGGGCTGCATTCCATCTGCAACAATGCACAAGGACAGAGCAGAAAGATTGGAAGTTGACAGTAAGCACACTGATGTAATATATATACTATGTCATGCTGTCAAGTCAGAAAACACTGAAGAGCCCAAACAACACTCTTTTCACTAAGACAATGTTTTTGGTTTGTTTGGTTTTTTTCTTTGAGATTTTCAGAAAGAGATTGGTTTTTTAGATTGTCTGAAGGTAAACTGTTGGCACAACTTCTAAAGAGATGCCAGGAGTTGGCCCTATTAAGTATTTTCTCAACCATTTAGTTATTATTCTAACATACCACATATATCAGAATATTGGATTAGTTCTGTTTTAAAATATTGTACAAGTTATGTCATTAAATATAAAGAACCATACATAAATCAAAACTATTCATTAATTACTATATAAAGTATCAGAATGTCCCAAAATAATTGTCAGTGACAATCAGTCTCTTCCTCTGCTTGTGTGTTTGTACATTCATCTACTCAAGTAATTACTTAGATCTCACTGGAGAAACAAAGTCCACTTGTCTCCCCATGGTGCTCAATGACTAAGGAAGGTAGTAAATATATCCAAAAATTTACAATGTATAGTTCCAGTAGCACAGTGATCTCAAAATCACATCTTTGAATAATTGGTCATTCATAAACTATTAATCCAGCTTCATAGTTCGTATAATGTAATCATAAATACAATGCTAAGTGGAGAAAGTCGACTTCTGCTGTCCCCACCAGTGCCAGATATGTGAGAGAAGAAGTGATGCACACAATACATCCTGTAAGACTAATCAGAGAGAGTGCAAAGCAGAAGACACAGCAAGCAATTCAAACACAGACACCAGTACAATGAAGACAAATGGTGGGAAGAAGGCCAGGGCTGCTAGTGAGAGAGCAAACTGGTACAACCACTTTGGAAATCAGTGTGGAGAGGCCTCAAAAAGCTAGAAGTCAATATATTACACGACTCTTGGGAAGGCAACCAAAGGACTCCACTATACAGACACTTGCTCATCCATGTTCATTGCTGCTTTATTTGCAATAGGCAAGTAATGGAAACAGCCCAGACATACATCAACTAGTGAATTGATAATGAGTCTGTGATATATTTACAGAATGGAATGTTATTCAACTACTAAGAAAAACAAAATTATGAAACACACAAGTAAATAATAGGGCTGAAAATAATCATCCTGGAGAAAGGCATCACGTGTTTTCTCTCATTTCTGAATGTTAGGTTTGAAGCTTCAGATACATATGTTTCATTCAGGCTACCCAAAGAGGTCAGGGAATTAATGAGAGGCTGGGGGTAGGGGGACTTTCAATGGAGCGAGAGACAGAATTCATTGCTCTAAAGGCTTAAAGGAGAAGTAAAAGATGGAATTAAATTGGGGTGGAAGCCAGGAGGATAGGATAGAGGAGGGAATACAAGATGGGATAAAGAACACTTAAGATCTTTTTTAGAAGCCATATGGAAACCTATCTATTATTGTAGAAGCTTCCACATATGTGTATGTGGTTGTGTGTGTGTGTGTGTGCACATGTGTGCATGTGTGTGTGTGTGTGTGTGTGTGTGTGTGTGTGTTTTAAATATGCATATGTTAAAATGGAGCTACCCTATAGCAGGATGACAATGCCCTAAAAATACCATAGACTACAAATAAAATATTGAAAATCGGTTACCTCTTCAGGAATTTTTAGCCGGTGAGGTCTCACAGATACCCAAACATTACAAGCTACTGCCATTTCTCTTGGCTACCCACTAGAACTTGACAATAAGAACCTATTGCTGAAGACACCATGTACTTGACTAATTTAATATGGATATGTAAAGCTGGTACTGACCTGCAAGCTCTTTCCCTGCTGGCTAGCTGTCATGGTGCTGGAAAGGCATGCCCACTGGTATAAGGATGCTGTAAACAACATGGAAGCAACCAATGACTTTCTGGATAGATTTGAGTCTCTTTCCATGGAATGAAACCCATACTTGCCACCATTGTAAGCCAAGAACCAGTAGTTAGACAGACCATAGACCATACGAGAGAGCCTACTACTATTATTCTGCCAGACGTACAAGGTAGCACACTGACTCATAATAAGATATCATTATACTCTTAGAGTAATACATATCTCAGCCCTCATCAAAGAAGCTTCTATTTGCAGTAAATGGTGATTACCACAGAGACCCACAACTGCTCAATAACAGAATAACAGTCTGCAAAATTCTCAGCTCTAAATGGGACATCTATAACACAGCCCTTCTCAAATCTCAAGGATCATTGTGGAAGAGAGGGCAGAGTATAAAAGCCAGAGGAGGTAGATGACTATAAGGCAATAGTGCCCCCCAGACATAGCAGGGAGGCTGCACATATGAACTCCCAACAACATGACAGCATGCACAAAGTCTGTGTGAGCTCAAGCCAGATCAAACTCTAGCATGGAGAAGGAAGGTGCTCACAAAATCACAGCCCAAACTAAGGAGCTCTTAGCAACTGATGGTTTCTGGGAGAGGGAGAGTCAGTTATTCTTAAGAGGATTGTCCCTGGTAAGTTGACCGTGCTCCAGTGAAAGGCCACATATCCAAAAATATATTGGCAGCATGAATTGGACTTGATTGGTATATATGAAAAAATAAAGACAAATTTGGGTGAGCAGGGAAGGGGTACAGATCTCAGAGGAGTTGAGGCAGGGAGTGAGTTTGTTCAAAACACCAAAACACGTAAAAAATTTCTCATAGAACTAATAAAAATGCTTTTAACCAGAAGATAGGGGGAAATGATATGAAATTCTGTCTTCTGAGCATGTCACAGCCAACTTAATCATGACTTTACAATAGCTGCAGCTCTCTGCAATGGACCCACACAAGATTGAGCTTGTCAGTAGTCTGTCACAGATCATGGAGGAGCCCATAGGGCCCTACCCCTCCCTGCTGAAGCATTTGATACTGATGGATTCTGAGGGAGATGTGGTCATTGTCTTCAGTTAGGTACCCACTAATGATCCACTAATCTTTAATGGATAGTTCCAAATCCATGGTCATACAGATGATCTTGTGTAACTCAATGGATCTAGAAAAAAAACTTTAAAAGGGAATTGTATAGTGGAATGGTTAATGGGGTGGATGGAAGCCAAGAAAGGATGGGTATTCCAGTAATCAGAATACACTTCAGGCACACATGAAATTGCCAAAGAACAAGTTCAATAAATGTTTAGCAACTACTAATCAAAATATCTGCCACCCAGATACTATGAATTTGATCTTATTTGGAAAGTAGTGCAAATGCAGTTCATAAAGGAGCCATGATAAGATCATTCTGGACTAAGATGGTCACCTAATGCAATGAGAATGATCATTTGAAGAGAAGGGAGAAGACACAAAAACAAAACTCCAAGAGAGGGTGACTGCTGAGGTTAGAGTGAAGTATCAACATACCAATGAATGCCAAGGGTTGTGGGCCACCAACAGACACCCAGAGGGGACAGGGAACAGCCTTGTCTTCAAAGCCTGCAGAAGGAACCCATACTACTAAAGCATTGATTTCAGCCCAGTGCCACCCAAGGAATGAATCATGAATTTCCATTGTCTTATATTTCCCACTTTGAGGCAATTTCTTGCAGCAGCCACAGGGCTTGTCCCGGTGTTTGAATTAGCAGTTCCCCACTGGGCATTGTAGGCATCCATGCTCCATATTCAGGGTGTTCGGAATTGAGTTTACCTTACTTGCATGGTGTGATTCAATGTTTCAACTAGAAATGAAAGTTTTACATGCCACATGAATTTTCTTTCCCATATTTCTCTTTCCTGAGAAAATGCTGCCAGAAGTCCATTTGGATTTCATCAAAGGTCTGGTTGACTTAAGATTCAGTTTCTTAGAAAAGGAAAAACAGACTGGGGAATTAGCTTGAGGGCCCCGTCAGTTCCTGAGCTAGCCACCACAGCCCCTTTTTGTGACAAGGTTGCCCTCAATTTTACTCTTACATTTATGACTCCCATTACCCTTTCCACTTGTGACATTCCTATTTGCCACTAATTGACCAAATTAATCAGTGGGATGGGAAATAATCGCTCACTAGCTGTCAAGTAAACCTCATCACTCTGTGACTTCCAAGGGCTCAAAGCCATTCAGTTCAATTAGCTTCATTGTTTTACATACAGTGCAGTGGCAAAATTCCTTCATGCTTTGTTCTTTCTTTCTCCCCATGGGACAGTGAGACATCTTAATAAATATGCCAAAAATAGATACAGACCTGACGATGGTGAAATGGCTGCCTTTGAAGGATTCTGTGATCCAAGATGATCTGCAGAAAAAAAAATCTGTCCTTTCCAAGCACCCTTGTAATGTCTTCAGGGAAGAAAGAACAGATTTTCTGGTTGTCCTAAAAGATCAGTGGCTAATTACAGCTCATTGCAGTCAACTTTCACCTATCCATGCTAATGGAAGGCATCCCTGATGCTGACAATCCCCACTGGGCCACTTTCCATTAGGTTTCAGCAAGTGAAAGCACAAAGAACATTTATAGCACAAGGCTTTTCTCCTAGTTCTTTGGAAAACTCCTGAGCAAGTCAGGGGTTGGCTTTTAGATTGTCTAAAGGTAGCATGGATACATTCCTATTACCCCTGGGTCAACATATTGGCCTTATTATGGTGATAATTTTTGTTTTGTTTTGTTTTTGTTTGTTTATTTGTTTGTTTTTCAAGACAGGGTTTCTCTGTGTAGCTTTGGAGCCTATCCTGGCACTCACTCTGGAGACCAGGCTGGCCTCGAACTCACAGAGATTCGCCTGCCTCTGCCTCCTGAGTGCTGGGATTAAAGGCATGCACCACCAACGCCTGGCTTGATGGTGATAATTAATAGTCAAAATAACACAATAATAAAACTTCCCACTACTGGGAACCTTTTGAATACCAGGTACATACTGCAAATAATCCTGCAAGGTACTAGTATCTTCATTTTATAATCAAGGAATAGGCTCATGGAAGTTACGCAACTAGCCTTGTGTTACACAACAGAAAATAATCAAATATTCTTATTCTGCTTGGGTGAGTATAGCAAAATGCCTTGGGGACCTGGAAACAGGTTTATTTCTCACTTCTGGAGAGTTCAAGAGTGAGTTCCTGGCAAAGCCTGTGTCTGGGAGGGCTTATTTATTCCTTTATTATCTCTTAAAGACAGCACCTTCTCATTGCATGACAGGAAAATCCCTTATACCTTATACCTAGACTTAAAGGGCACTAATCCTTTTTATGAGGCCCCACCCTCACGATCCAATTATCTTCCCAAATGCACACATCCTAATACCATCACATTAGGGAGTAAATATCAGTATGTGATTTTGGGTAAAAGACACTATAAATAATTAGAGCATTCTAACACTGAAGTAAGACTCAAATGGGATCTTAGTCAAACTGAATGGGATGTTAGTTTCTCCCTCAAAATTGTTTTACTGCGTTTCCTTTCATGAGACTGGGCAAAAAAGTAAAAAAGACTGAATAATGTTTCCTGATACAAGGACATGTGCATGCTGCATACCCAAATGATACTAGACTTAAAATAAGATTCTGTCACAATAATGTCATGCACTGAGTCTATATCACATGCCTATAGCCTAGAAAGATCAAAATTCAAAATCTGAAGTATTATTTCTACTAAATGCATCTCATTTGCACAAAGGTAAAATTAAAAATGAATAAGTCAAACCACGGTCAGTCAAGGACTGTCTATCCTAATTAAATCACATTAGAGAACTAGGTGCTTGGCTAATACAAATACATTATCATCTCTCTAAAGGACATAAGTTTTTATGACAGATGGAGCTTAAGGGTTTAGCAACTGAAATTTTAAAAGACTCTAGTTAAAAGTTGTTTTATTTAGAAGGCACTGACAGGGATAGATCCTGGAAAGCCCATTAAATTAAGACTCTGCTACATAAATGTGTCAAAATCTTCCTCCCACATTAACTTAGACCACTGCCTAGCCGATACCTCAAGGGAAATTCCCACCAGACAAATTCAGTTCATGTGTCCTTGCTTTGAATATAATTTCCTCCTAAAATACACCTTTATTTCAAAATAAATTTAAATTGGATATTCTAGGAGAAATAATAAATATTGAAGTATCAAAAATTGCATTCTTTCAAAGTGAAAATTATGATGTACTATAATTTTTATATTTGTAAGATCATTATTATTTAATGATATTGATTTGACTAATAATTTCATGCCATGATACTGATAACTAGGTTACTATTAGTAAAGTTCATTCCAGTTTACAAATTGATCTAACCAAATACTGTGTTACATGCCAGAATCAGTAAGTGACCAGTAGTGCCCATCCACACTCAGATGGAGAAGATACACACATATGCAAATAACTATTTCTAACAATACAGTTGCTATTATCAACCTGACGATGCACAATGTATCCAGATATGGGGATTCATTTTGTATCACCCTTACTCACTGGAACTTTTTATTCTATCATCTATTCTTAACTCTTTTACTATTTGGCTTTATAAACTATCTCCAATATGTCCAATCATTCTACCCCAACATTCTCACAGACCACTACCATCTCCCACCTGGGATTCTGGTATATTCTGCTCCCAGTCTGTTTATGGGTACCTGAATCCATTCCCAGATTTTTCCATATAGAATTACCAGGCCAAAGTGAAAAACCACATGGCCTAAGTTAACAAATGCATTTTCACTACAAAATGGGATTTAAATGTAAACAGTTAATTCTGGGTTTTCATATAGTAAATGTATGTCTTTGCAAGCTATTTACACTCTTGCATATAGTTTCCATCATGTGGCTTGTCATTACTTGGAAATCTTGGGGATAAGTGAGGATAATGCAAATGAAATACAAGGTTGTAGAAATCACTCAGTGCAAAACAAATAATAATCATGAT